TATGTATGTATATATGATTTTTAAGATGTTTTTCAGTGATTTGCATAGCAGTGCATAACTGGCTATGGACTATTTAACTTATTTATTATCTTGTGGAAAAAAAGTATAGGCTACTTTGGTAATTTGTGTCCATACTGTATTTATCAAGTATGATGAAGCAATAGATCTATATTCTTTTATGATTAAATTATGATTGCCATTATTAATCTGCATAAAGTGGAGTGTATGTTCTTGTCACAGTAATATATATTTTGTTTTTCTCCTTTTTTGTAACTTCACTTGGTTATTTTTATTGTAAATGAGTAAAAAAAAAAATCTTAATTTAAAATAACGTATGTGATATTTATTTCATTAATTGTTTCCTTGTTTACGTTTTATTAAGTTTGCGTGATTGCTGTTTACTCCTGAGGATGTCAGTGCTGTAGAAGGGTTTGGTTTGTTTTTTTTTCCTTATTTTTTTGAGGTTCCTAATTCAGATATTTCTGTAGAATATACCAAGTGTGGTTGTATAGACCGTCCAAATCTTCATTCTTTTGTTCTAGATCAGACTTCAGTGACAAAGAACCCAAGTCAATAAATTAACCAAAAAGTGTTTTTGTTTTCTCTCTTTGCACGAGGTCGCACTGTGATTCCAGCCACGTGCTAAGAATGTAGCAACCCTTGTGCCCTGGTATTATTGTGTAGTGCCTATGGGGTTCACCATCTTGACATGCCTTAAAATTAACCAAATAAAGTATTTTCCTACATGGCATCTTTTTATACACAAGTTGAACAGAATGTAGTTTTGGATTCTCAATCTTTTTGTTTAAGGTTACCACTCAGACACTGATTTTAAAAATGGCTAGCTTTTCTTTAAATCCCCATTCCTCTTATTTTGAGTTGTTTTTATTAATCTAGGCTGAGGTTTTGAGAGTTTGCTAGAGAGGGATGAACTCGTTTGATTTGTACATAGTAGGTACAGGGGGATGCGCACTATGTACTTTTGACTACTTTATCAGAAGTAAAGCTTTTTGAATGTAAGAAAACAGACAAAAAGATGGTGGTTTTGTTGGGGGGGGGGCGTCAGTCACTACAAATTGAGTGAGACTGTTAACTTTGTACTGTATGTTTTTTGTAGTTCTCCCAATAAAAATAATTTTGAAAAAGATCCAGTCTGTCAGGCTGTGACTGTACATTTGAGTTCAAAGATATCTAGATATCTGACTTAAAAAAACAAACATGAAATGATGTTCAGAAGCAGAGCTGTAATGACTTTTCATGCTGTTCTTTCAAACATGTCATGTTAAAGCATGATCTAGAATCACCTTCCACTGGGGAAAACCTGAATGCATCTGGGGGGAGGGGGTGTCCAGGGGTACAGTTGAGCCCCAGCTGCCCTGTCCCACTACTTAGT